TTCGGTGGAAAAAATTCCAAAATTTGGTGCATTCCAAAAAGCTATTGTTCACATGCTTCATTCTTGATGTTTTTCAAACCACTTTCTCGTAAGTGACAGCGCTTCAAGAGCTTTTTAGCAGTATAACAATGAAATCCAATTGCAATTTTGTTCCATAGCTCTACTAAGGTCATTCTACTCGTGAGTGAAAAATTCGTCTCAACTATTCATTAATCCATGACTTAAATGGATTACAATTACGCGTCTGAATTGGCAATGGGGGAAAAACAAGGGCCGTACTCCAGTGTGGTTGTAGCCAGTTTTCGGTTCGGTTGCTTGCTTTATAATGACTTGTCATAAAATCTATTTGTCCTGCTAAATATCTTCCAATTCCGTCTTTGCACGACGCTATGCACACGTTGTGACGATTTACAGGTTTTTCAAGTTCATTTCGTTTTTCTATTGTGTACGTTTATGACGTGCGCGGACTGGCCGTGGGTAATTACATCACGTTTTGTATGTCGTAGACTTTTTTTACGGGTTATTATGTCTTTGTTGGGACTAGGTCAGCGTTATTTGAATACCTCTTCTCAGAGTTTATTTAGAATTCGTAAGCAATGTTCATGATGAATTCTAATTTGCACCGCATTCCATAGAGTACGATTCAAAAATTAGTCTTGGAGTTTGGAGTGGAAAACTATAAAAAAGGCCATGAGGATATTTATCCATCACTGTTACCTATGAGCAAGAAGGCAGTACCCACTTTCTCTCCCCGCCATCGAAGTTAGTGCTCGATTGGGCTCGAAATTGTGCTCGGTTGTGGATTTGGATAGAAATTATAATATTAGGATTTATAAGTGAGTGCTTTTAGTTGATTCCCCAAAGCTGCTGCTAGACTTAGCGGATCCAGCAAATCGCTAGCGAATCGCGGCACGCAAAGCCATGCGCCGGCATCTAGGTACATCCGCATAGTGCGGTAAACGCCAATGCATGCCAGGCACCGGTACCAAAGCTACATTAACCACCAAATTGCCTGAAAACAAGCCCGAGAGGCGTTTTTATCTCATAAGTGCAATATCAGTAAAATTGGCGCGATAACGCTCAGCGCGTGCGCTACCGGCGCCGGCTTCCCAATATCAACTTCAAGCCGCAATCAATAGAACTTGTGATTGTTCCTCTTTTAATGTAATGCGAATGCGATGTTTACGAAAATGCAAAGTGATCATGATAATCGCTCCCGGCCGGCCAGAATGTTTCAGGTGTTCGCGGTTGGTTTAGTGCTAAACAGGTGGAATATTCGCTAGGTCATACTGCCCCACGGGACAAATCTTCTAGTGGGATGTTGCTGATAACTCGGAAAGTACAAGTAGACCTTTGATCGTTTTTATTGAATATGCTTTGGAGTTGTTCTCTAATTTATCTGGGCCAGTTTCTTGGCATATATTTATGTAGAGAGTGATGCTCACTTTCTATCTATGAGTTTCTTCAAATTACTACTATATTGCAAAAAGCTATTTTTTCTCTTTGTTGGCGCTGATTCAAGTGCAGAGCTTGTACAGTGTGCCCCAAAATTATGGGCACATATTCACAGCAAGCATATTTTAAGCTTGCAAACGGAGAATGCCGATTGAATTTATATATAAGTTAACTCACATCATGTACAATAATATGGAACAGCCCAATACCGAAATGTCCTTCAATGCAACGAATGCAAGCCAGTAGTCGCTTCTTGGGTTCCGCACACGTTGCACGCAGGCACTCCTCGTTTATTTCTTCCAAAGCTTCCTTCAGTGCTGCTTCCAGTTACTCAAAACTGTGATGACGAACGACAGACCTCACTTTCACTCAATGACCACATTGAGAAGTGAGGTGAATGCGCGCCTGGTGAAAATGATGTGACCGAATTCGGGCAGCGGGAACCGGCACCACTCATGGATCAACTTGGATCTGTAGGCTGGAGCGCTCTTTAGGCCGATGTCAGACTTTGCGAATCGCGCGATTCGCTAGCGTCCGCGGTCGCGTTGCGGTACCAGCCAATTGAGTGATTCACTGGCCGCGACGCGACCGCAGACGCTAGCGAATCGCGCGATTCGCAAAGTCTGACATCGGCCTTAGCCTTAGAACGTCTGTTATTGCCATGATGAGACGTTGAACGAACCTCACCACTACGCTTACCTCAGGTGTCCTGATTTGTTGATAATTATACCGAATTCCGACGAAAAACTAACGGTCTCTCAACGCTGGACGTGGTTGTTCCTTCAGACAGAACTGGGCCCGAGTTCGATAATCTGCAAACAATCTTCTCGTGGAGAACGCAGCTAGCGGCAGTTTTGAGGGAATGCAATCGTTTTGGCTATTGCGGATCCGCTCAGCTGTGCTCAGCTGTGGGAAGTTTTCCTTCAAAAGAGAAAGAGAGATGCGTGTCTCCACTGAAGCAGCTCAACAACCTTATGCATTTTTACCCCTCTGACACTTGTTGGTAACATAGATGAGATGGATCTTCTGCACATGATAGTAACGACTATGATGTTCTTCACTGACCACCTGCCCTGCCAGCGACTTCGTTCAGTCAAGCTCCTATGGGATTCTTCCAACGGAGCCGTCGGTTGCGGTCAATTCGAGATCGGAATGTTTCAGTCACCCTTGCGGCAGATTGGCCGGTCTTTCTCCCTCTCGCAGGCCTATGCATGATAGGCATTGTTTCCTAGTATCGTCTGATAATCTTTCGCGTAGCCCTTGTGGGAACTTCAAAATATTTGCGTTGTCCTTCATTGAGGGACCTGCCTCGTGCATGCGAATGGTCGCAGGTCGCACCAAAAGACCTTCCGCCATTCTGAAGGTAGTAGGAGTTTCACCCCACAGTGAACCAATTACAAGAAGACCTTCCTGCAGAAGTAATCGTCGGCAAATGGAGTGAAAATATTCGAGTTCTTTTGCAGAATGAAATTTTGAATTTTTGTGCCCATAATTTTGGGACACCCTGTATATGGGCAGGGTTTTAAGCTGGAATGGTTTCTTTGGATGGAAGCATCTTGAGCATCGAGGCGTTTGTAATCGATCTACACTCATACCCGTACTTGGTGCTTATGGGCGGAAGTAGTGGTAGGAAATTGTACCATTTGTCAAATTTTTCAATTTGCCATGGCAAATGTCGAATCAAACCTCGCTCAAGCCTATCGTTTCCATCCGTCCGTGGTCGATTAATAAGTACCAATCGCGTCTTAGGGAATAAAAGCATTGTTTTCTACATCGACCAGCCCCCAAAATTCATTGAAAACATATCGCGATCACACAAGATGATTCTGCATGGGAGTCGAATCACACAAGATGATTCTGAGTGGGAGTCGAATATGTGGCGCACACCAACATAGCGCTTGATCAGCGCGAAATGTTTCATTTGATTCAGTTGATCGATTTGCTGCACGTACGCATCACGCGGCCGCCGCGTTTATATTACTAAGAATGTGGTGCTAAATATTTGTATCTATTGCGGCAAAAAAAGTCGTAAACAGAAGGGAACCTAAAAATGCAGAGCCTGGCTGTTGGAGAATTAGAGGAGTGTCGTCTGGCAGTTTGAACCTTCCAACAAATAGCTTGTGCAATTGATGGAATACAGAGTTGGATAACACTCAACGTGAATAACAACAGAGAAAAGAACGATAACAACGTAATTATAGTCGAATTGAAAATAAATCTATGGTCACATACTTCTTTCATGTTGTCACTTCGTCCTCAACCCAGTATTGAGCTGCTTTCAATGGTTCCATACAATATTTGCTGTTTATTTCCTTGCGGTTGCTGTTTTGTTTTTGTTTCAAGTATAAAGAACACCCTCTTTTCCTAGCCTTCGTAGTGTGCTTCAATTGCTTCAATAGGGGAATTGTCATAAAAAAATTGGGCACTATTTACCCTTTACTGCCCCACTCCTCAAGAACTGAGCCGGATTTTGATCGAAATTCGTCCATGACTGTGGATTTTGCTAGAAACTTGCCTTCAGGGGTAATTTGACCCGTAGATCACGAATATAATACCGGTTTAGAGCGAAAACGCTTGGCGCCCGCGCCACAGGCGCCGGCGCTATCACAACAGTTTTGCGCGGGCGCTCGTAGCGCAGGCTACAGGTTCACTCGTAACAAACTGATGTGATAATCATATTCTACGGGTCAAAATACCTCTGAGGACAACTTTCCAGCGAATTTGGGGAAGCGAGATATTCTGGCGCCTTTTGGCGCCGCTGCTTCTGACGCGAGGGCCAGGCATTCTAATGGGAAACAAATGTGATATTCGTGTTCTAAGGGAAGAATTACCCCTGCATGCAAGTTTCTGGCCAAATTCACAGCCAATGACTAATTTCGATAAAATTCCGGCTCAGTTCTCGAGGAGTGGGACAGCAAAGGGTAAATAGTGCCCTTTCTCAGTTCAATTATCGGTCGGG